ACGCCCATCTCTACCACCTGGAATCTCGCCATTTGAGAAGTTCAGTTCCATAATAGTCTGGTTAGCAGTCCTTACCTCACTATCCTTGAACATCAACTGTTGTTGTAACATCATGTCCATTCCGACATTACTCCCACCTGCACATCTAAAGATCCCCGGTTCGATCCCTCCACATGTCAATTTATGCGGGAAAATATTCACATGCTCAGTAAAGTAAAACACTAGTGAAAAATATATCTCACGACTACTGCATACCGCGCGTTTTTCATATTACACCACTTCACATAAAACGAGTGAATATAGGAGACTCCCAAGCTCAACTATTGAGGAGGAAACCAAACCTATATTCCCACTTATTCCATTTGTGGCAAACATATTCATCTTAGCCGCCGATGAGATCCCGTCCGAAGACACATTATCACCTCCACCAGCGCCCAGCGACATCTACCACAAAATACATCACCACAAAATCAGAGAGAAAAATTTCCCCACTTTTTGTTGCTGCACAAAGACCATCAGCGTTGAGTACTGATTCGCGAGCTGCTCAACAACTTGCTGGATCGACGCCATTTCATCAGCCAATTCCACAAAATTCGGAGGTTCACCTTACACGGCGTTGAGGAAATGCAAGATAGCAAGATTTCCCTTACCTTCTCCCTCGGGTATTTCTCCTGAGGCGATATTCACCGCTTGAATGACATCCTCCAAAATGGCTGCCATAGACTCTCCCTGCTCAGCAGTCAACGCCATTTTTTGACCTAAAAAATTTCAACGTAAAAACCCATCCCATGTGTTGATGACATTTTTGAAAATTCTGGGAGGAAAATTTAGGAATTTCTCATTAGTTTCTGTACACGTCTACAATCAATGAGAAGCTGATAAGAGCAAACATATATTCCTCCAGCACTTACCACTAACGGAATCGATCATAACATTAGCTCGCTGGGCCACTTTATTGCAGATTCTCAGCGATGAATTCGCCGCATCTATCACCGCACACGCACTGGACATCTCACTCGCCAAACTCTGCAGCTGATCGCACACTGGTGGTACGAGCTCTTCTGATTAGCACAGTTCTCTCATGATTTACCAAAATTACGGTACTACCCGAATTTTCCTTACAACCACCAACTGTTGATGACAGCGACTCCAACAGGCACTCAATAGGCTCGGCGATAGAGAGCAAAGCAGATGGACACACCTGAGAAAAGGAGTAGGAGCATTCACCCGTTTTACGTGAAGTGGCGATATTCGCGGTGATATGCAGTAGTCGTGAAAAATGTTTTTCATATCATCGGTGAAACTCCAATGTTGTAGTAGGAATATATCTTCGCCTTCCTCAGCTGAGCTCAAGAGTTTCCAAAGCTGCTTATACGAATGCGAGTAGACAACAATAACCTCCCAAAATTTCCTCACAATTTTCATACTGTCACCAACACATGTAGTTGACCATATGCATATTTTCCCACACCGACACGAACGGTTTCTTTTTTCAGCGCTGGAGTGTTGACATTCTCAACCCCAAAACGACCAACTTATGATCGCCGCAATTCTGTGATACATTTTGGGGGGAAAATTGTCAACTACATGTGTTGGTGACAATATGAAAATTCTGAGAAAATTTCCTATTGGTTTCTGTACACATCTACCAAAGTGTAAACTCTTATAAACAATTTGAGAACTCCTCACTTCAGCGGAGCGAAGCGAATACATACTTCAAGATTTCTGGGAGAAACATTCCACAGTTTATAAAATTACTAATCGCGTAAATATTATTTTTTTACGAATTTATAAAATGCGACTTCCTCACTTTTTTCACATCACCAAAAATTTACATTTCACCCTATGAAGGCTCAGGAAATTCAAACCTCAAAACGTAGGGTTTATAAATTTGACCATCGCGAGGATCGAACCAGGGTCGTCCCCATGCCAGCCCAACACACTTTCCCCTTAGTCTTCAACTCCGTCTCCAACATATGCGTCTCTTCACTCGAGCCCTTCATAACCTTTATACGGTACTCCAGCTCCTTTACTTGATATTCAAACTCGGCAACAGCATCCGCTGCCGACCCTCCTCCACCGTAGCCTGCCACAACCCCCATGCATCATCCCCGCACGGGTTCGATCCCCACCTCCTGCCAATCCACTCATTAATGTTACATCCAACGTGCCCGACTTATACTGGGCGAGGTCCTCCTCAACCGACTGCTTCAGTAAATACGTTCGTATTCCCCTGAAAAATTTCCGGAAAAAATGTAAAATTTTCCCCAAAATTTTCCCATACCCTTGCCCAGACTCTCCCGCCCCCAACGTCCCTCGCTCTCCAAATTCATACAAGCCCGACCCCTCATATCTAAAGTGGGTAATCGAAAGGTCCCCGGTTCGATCCCCCCTACTCCTTATCTATTTCCACTTTAGTTGCCTCTGTACAGTGTATATGATTACCAACACCAGTAATGGCCATGTGCTTAGCAAGATCGACAGTATCGCCCAGGAAAGAATAACTCGGAATTGTTCGCCCACTTCCGACGATTAAACCACCATAGGACGGCCTGGATGAGAACACATTTCAATGTTTCCTTTATTACGCGAACTTCGTCAAAAAATTTACCAAAATTGCGCAAAAATTAACAAAAAAAGAGCAAACTCCGAAAATTTTTATTCCGATGTTCGAATACACCGGAGCTTAGTGCGAAAAAAAATAAACATATGATCGTGATGATATGAAAATTCTGAGAAAATTTCGGCAAACTCTTCGCGGTGCACTTCTACTCTATGTCGTGTACAATTAGCTCTGCAAACTCCCGAGCTCAGCTGATGATGACAGCAAACATATATCCCAACACTTAATATGCTATTCCCATCCAACCCAAAGACTCACCCGGTAGCAACTCCCATCAGAAATTCAACACTTTTCCCCGCAACTTTGATGTTAGACTGATTCAGGCCTTCCAGAACGTCCTTCGCATAAGTAAGGATATTCTCAACATGATCCTCCTGACGGTCGTGACCACACACCACGAGCACTCCCGAACCATCCATTTCCACCTAGATGTCAGGGATAAGAACAAAAATTTTCGTGGCGGGAAAATTTTACCCGAAAAACGTCGTGTGGCTTCAGGAAAATATCGAAAACTGTGGTCATTTTATTAAGGAGAACACATAGTTGGGAGATGGGCACGATTTCTTGGATAATATCGAACTCCTTCATCATACCATACAGAAATGTCACACTCTCGAACTTGTTGGCCACCAGACTGCCTTCACCTGAGTAAAAATGCCCTCACCGGGGATCGAACCCGGGACCTCTTCCTACTTTTTTTCACGCTTTCTAGGACGTTCCGTGGTAGCGTTCGCTGCATCATCTCTCTGTTCACCTTGCGTTCATAGTTAATGTCATCCATCAGCTTGCGGACCACTAAGGTATGAATCTAACAAAAAAATACCTCCACCAGGAATAGAACCCACGACCATGCCCATGTGAGCACGACCAACTACCCACCCGAGCACTGAGCTCTTCCTTCTCAGCATCTCTCAACACCACATCATTCGCGAAGTGCTTCAAAGCCTCCATCCTACCACTGTTAGTCACCTCATTCGTCACTATGATCTAAAATAAAATATCCCCCCACCAGGGATCGAACCCTAGACCTTTCCCTACCACGGGTAACGACAACTGGAACTCCCGTCGGACTATATTGACTACTTCATACCCCGTCATTCCACCAATCGACTGCTTCGTCATGCCCCCCGACACCAGCAGTATATCCGGCAGCGCGCAGCTCTCCAATGTTTCAATACAATCATACCCGTCTAGACTCCTCTTGTATTCAAATCCCGCATCCTCTGCGCACAGTAAAGATTCTATGTAAAAAGCGCGCGCCCGAAATTCATGACCTACTGTCTAGAACCTTCTCGAGAACTTCATGATTTTTCACAACGTCATCGCAGCTAAGGATGGTGATTGCTCCCGCCTCGGCAAGCCTCCTTTGAGCTTCTTCTTGAAGAGTAACCTCGCCGAATTCGTCCACAACATCACCGTCGCTTGCAGCTGAACCGTTAAGTCACCGATTCATCACACAAACGACCCCGGTTCGATCCTCACCATCGGCAGAATTTTCATCCGCTTCCGTTGTTGCTGCCAGCAACCCCTTCGTGGTAACCGACGATTGCCTCTTGAACATCCTTGCATCTAAAACGACGAGCTCTTCCCTATTCGAAATCGAAACTCTCGAGGGAAAATACGCGCAAGTGTTGGTGACAATAGGGAAATTTTGGAAAATTCTCCTTAGTTTCTGTATACTTCTACCCAAATTCTAAGGAAAAACCCGAGCTCAGCCGAGGAAAGCAAATATAAATTCTTCCAACACGTTTTCTCACTTTCCATCTGTGCCGTCTGGAACACCGTAGAAGCGCCCATCTTGGTGCCCCCTTCTTGAGCGTTGCCAGCCATTTTAACTTCGTCTGCAATTCGTTGAGGCAGTCGAACGTAAAATT